GCTGACCCATCCTCCATGCCCCAGAAGAGGTGAAAAAAACCTCAGAAAATGCTGCTGTGGCCCATTATCAGGATGCTGAATTTCTAGGCAGTTTTGCTGTCTTTGTTGAGACCTTATGAACTTCACACAGTGATACAAGGAACTAGAACTGCTCTTCTCCTCAAGGGAGGGGACACAAATACCTGCTGCTCCTCCCCAGAAGAGCCAGCCCTGCTGTCCCTGACACCCTTGTCCAAGCACACTGGAWAACACAGCCCCAGGTTTCTCAGCTGGCACAGACACTGCAGTTCACTGAATGCCTAAAAAGGAGCCAAAGCCTGGCAGTACTTGAGCAACTGGATAGGTCTGGCGAGGGGCAGGGACTAGAAATAAAGCTGAGAAAAGGGCAGCAGCCAAAGATATTCCCATTAAGCATGATCAAAYTTAAATCTGTTTTCTGGGAGTCACTTTGATTAAACTCATTACAGTTAGACAAAGCAGACTGGATTAGGCAAACCAGAAGATGGATCCATAGCACTACAGCACAGCCTAACCCTAARGTTTCACCATGGTTGAAGCCTAAGGAGCGCAGCACTAAATTCTCTGCCTGAAACTTCAGGGAGCCATAAAATTGTGAAGCAGAAACCCCACTATCCCATCCTCCATGCATATTAAGGAAGCTTCAACTTCCAGGGCTCATCTAGAGCAGGGAAACATTCCAGTTTTGAAGCAGAATTGCATAAACTTGAACACTAATCAGTAACCTCTGCACTGGAGTGCTTCTGAAGATCACTGGAGCATCATTCCACAGCACAGTAAAAAACTCTCTCTCCTGTTTACAAGGCTGCAGCATGGAATGGAATAGAGCAGCAACAGCAGACACACGGATGGGAATGCCTTGGACAAACATTCTCCAGTGATGGCAGCCCCTAACAAACACTCACCTCCTCCCTTGGTGAGAATGAAGCCAGCTGTTTGATTTTCATGGTTTGATGGTTGTTGCATTTCTTGCAGAGCAGAATTTGGCTGCTCACCCACTGCTGTGGTTTTGCAGGGTCACAGAAAGTYGCACTGCCCGACACAACGTGGTTAAGGTGTTCCATGTACTGGGCGGGGATGGGCTTGTTGTAGTCTCCATTCTGACAAAAAGCAGGAGGGAAAGCAAACATTTGTCACAAAATCAGAGCTAGGGTGGCAGTAAGATTCCCTAAGCTTTGTCAGCAGATCTATCTTTCATTAGCATTCACCTATGTAACAAAATAAGCAAAAAAAGAGACAAAATGCCGCAAAGCTTCTCCCCAACCCCACTGTCCTGCAGCTATTGCAAGCAGCTGCTGGTGCTGGATTTCAGCTTAAGACAGCCTTTGCTATTTAACAGAATACAAAAGCAGAGAAGAATTGCTGCAAGAAGTATGCTTAACAGATATTTCAGGGTTACTTTTGCCCATTAAAGCATGAGAGGAAAATTCTGATCTCTGCAGTCAGCAAACCCCAGTGGAGGGGATTGTTTCTCCAAGCTCAGTTGCTGAGCTCACTGGTGCTCAGCACAGAGCTGCTGCCCAAGCACTGGACACCCATGTGCACTGGGCCTGGAGCATGCTGAGCAGGGTTTTGGCAATGCCCAGGCTGTGCCCACCCAGGCTCCCTGCCCTGGTACCTCCTGGAAGCCGTTGTACTGCTCGCAGTTGGGGCAGTCCCAGCAGTTGCGGTTCCCGTAGGGCACCACCGTGTCCTGGTTGCAGAACCAGCAGTTCACTGTCACGTGCGTGGGCTTCTTCCTGCTGGGAGAGGAAACATCTCAGACAGGAGCACTCAGCTCGGCTGATGGAGAGCAAAGATATGGCTTTCAAACAGAGATATACACGAGAGGCTGAAAAACAATCAATCTTCCCATTCCCTGTGCTTAATGATACGACTTGGACTAGTCATGCCAGCAATGAAAAGATGGAATATTAAAGTAAAAATAAATTTCTGCRTGACAATCAAACCTCTGTTCTAGTAGACATATCATAGACATACCAGAATTTCAATAACAACCTTGTGATTCACCCATGCCCTGTTTTTCAGGGGCATATTTGGGGGTACAAGTCCTCTCCATAATCAGCAGTGCAATTCTGTGAGARGGGTGCAGCAGAATTCATGCTTAATACACAGGATTTGAGGAAAAGGAACCACAAGAGCTGCCTGGGAYAGCCCTCAGAAACCCAGGAAATGGGCTCATGGTTACAGATTCTATCTGCTCTGTTTGGTAGAAATTTTTTCAAGGACAAGGGTGTACCACATTATCCTGAGGTTCCAGCACTGTAAACTGCCATTTCTTTACAACTTTAGGTACCAAAGGAACTGAGGAATCAACATTTCTTCCCCTGCCTTYATGCACTAGAACTGAAGGGACAGATTAATGACCTTGATCCATGAGCCCCTTGTTTTTTAAAGCAATCCTGTTAGAACAACAGCCAATACAGACAAACAGCTGTGACAGGGCCCCACCACAACAGGTTTGACAAATGTTTGAGCAAAGAACTCCARTGGCCCAATCCCTGAGCCTGCCTGCTAGAGACGCTCTGCATTTGTCTGGAAACTCAGTGCAATCCCCAAGAGGAGCTTCCTGGCAGGTCAAGGCACCCCAGCCCAGCTGTCTGGCTTTATCAGAACCAGTCCCAGTTCCAAGGGAAGGCAGCTGCTCAGGACTAGGCAGCAATGCAGACAGATGGGCCCAGCTGCCACCAGCCCAGCTCCAACAGGGAATTTGTTTGTGTGGCTCCACTGCAGCAGCAGCAGAGCAGGGGAGCTCACTGAGGATCTGGGGAGCAGCTGGCAGCAGCCAAAGTGCTCCCAACTTCTTCCAGGAAATGTTCTCTGCTGYTSAAACACCTAAATGCTGCAGAAGTRTTGTCTGGMACYCTGCAATCAGTCAGGTGGGTCTTCCTTCTCAGCCCTCACCTCTGTAGATGGATCTCTATAATTAACATTTTTTCCCACTCCCATTTCCATAGACCATGCCTTGAAACTCGGTTCAAAAAATATCAAACCCTCAAGGAATGCCTGAGCCTTCTGTTTAGGTACCAACAACGAGGACATGCTTGAAATGAAGCACTAAAAAGTCAGTGTGTACAGAGGATTCCCTGCCAGATGCTGAATGAAATGACTGGAGCTACTAGGATGAAAGATTCTCATCTCAAAATAGATACAAACACCCACACCCCTCTTAAAATGAATATTCCCTGCTCAACTTTCTTCATTGCCAAGGGGGCTCAAAACAGCAACTGATCTGAGTTAAAAATACCGCTGCTAAAACTACCAAGCAAAAAAAAACCCAAAACCCCAACCAATGCAGAGTTAAAAGCAGACAAATCTAGGCCGACAGTCTGAGTTATCCATGAGCTACCACTGTCCAAAAGCCAAGCAAACCACACGTCAAAACAGTCATGTGAAGGATGGACAGCAACACCTGCTGTACCAGCTCAATCTCACTATCACAGGGGTAAAAGCTGTGCAAATAYAACATGTTTATGAACACTAAAACACAAACCTCACAGCTCCTTGGCACAGCCTGAACTCCACTTCCAGAGGGAGGATATTACTGCCCAGTCCCAGGTACTGCAGAACCTGCCACAGTCCCTCCCTCTCGCTGCTGTAGCATCCTCTGGCATTCACAGAAACAAGACACGCACCTCTCAGCCTCTACCCACCCCCAGTCTCTAAATTCCATTACATGACAGAAGCAGAAGCACTAATTTCAAAGATAACAGAAGTGAAAAGCACAAGTGAGAAAAGGAATAAAGTAGTCATGCTATAAAGCAAAAATCATCAGTGCCAAACCCTACCTGAGAACTCACTAAGTCAGAGACAAATCCTCAGTATACTCGAGACCTTTCCATCTTTCTCCAAACAGGATTTCATTTCTTGCTCATCAAGCTCAGGAAGTACTACCAAGGATTAAATGGCAGCACTTCATTCTGACAATGTATGCAAAAGAAATGGCTAAGTCCTGGATTATGCAGGATAAAAGGCAATAATACTTCCTTTTGTGAACCTATAATCTGTTGCCATAGAAATAGGTGCAAAAAAATCCCAAATTCCCAATCTGGTGGATGMAAAAACAAGAACAAGGGGAGAAAAAGGTTGCTTCAGGCTAGAGTGTATAGGTAGAGTGCTATTTTTTTAGCAATTGGGCAGGACTGAAAAAACAGAAAACAAGTTCTGCATTTGGAAAGATTCTCAAATATAGAGTTTGGAGCTATATCCACCTTGACGGAATTCAGGAAAGCACACACTGCTTCTCAAGTCAGATCCTGCCATGACACAGACAATGCAAACCCCAGCCTTTATCACCTRCTCAATCCCTTGCAAAACAAAAGGCAAATCATCTCTGAGGAGTTTATAATCTCCCACTGTACTAATCTGAAACAGCTTCACTGGACAGAGAACCTCCCTGCAAAATAAAACCTGAGCAACAAGAAGTGATTGAGTTACTTAGAGCACAGAGAGATTCCATCCAGAGCTGACTTATGCTAACTCCATGTTTAACCTGCACACCTAATCAAGATAAAAAAAAAATCCCAGGCTTGGACAAATTGTTTGGCAGGTAGAAAGTATTTGCTTAAAACAAAATTGAGGGGAAAATACCTGCAGTAAACTCAGTTATGGGATTAATACCTAAACATCTGACATTGCCCAGACAATATGACAAAACATTCCTTTGTGAGAAGCTACTGGATTYCTTTATTTTGCTCACAAAAATCAGGCTGCAGCTGTCCAGGTTCCATTGACAAACACTGGTTAGCAATTAGTTTGTGTCTGTCATGTAACATGAGGAGGAACTYAGGTTCTTCCAACTCCCAGCACTCYTCACTACTCCTCATTTAYACACACATTTAAGGTCAAGCTGAAGTACACACGCCTAACGGATTGCCAGAACAGCACTGTCCCTGATAAATGCTGGTAATAATAAACTGGATTTATAAATATTTTTATTTACATCTATTCCCCCACCCTCTTTACTACTAAAGTCAGAAGATGAAGACGTTTACTTTTCTACAGTCTTGAAAGAGACCGTTGGTGGATGTGCAGTCCTTCACTGGGCTACTCTGCCAAGAGTTAGAAGAAAAACCCAATTCTCCATTGAAAGCCTTTAAACCAGTCTTAATTCTGGCACAACTGGATTACAAAGCAATTATTCAAATAGCTATGCCAGCAAATCGGAACAAAAAATACCCAGGGAAGAAGAGCTGTTTTGCACAGATCAGTTTGATCAAACCATTTCTGGGGGCAGTAGGACAGACCAAGCACAAGCACAACGCAGGTTCAGAGCTCAGCTGCCTCCAGGGAAGCTCCAGGGTGGCAGAAAACTGAGCTGCAAACAGCAGATTGTGCCCATGTCCACTGCCTGTCACTAAAGGGGTCTGTCAGGGCATACCCAATGCTAAACCCCATTTTCCAGTGCAAGAAAAACACATCACAGCTGCCTARATCCAGCAGGTGAACTGTAATATAGATGCGTTTTCTCAAAACTAGCAGCTGTAGACCAGATTTAGCCACAAGACCAAATTTCTAATAGTGTCATAAGTTACAAGTTTGCAGCCTGTCCTCTCCCAGGAACCAGACTTAGCATCCTCTTAACCAGGAAAAAGGTGCCCAGTGGACTCAGGCAGGGACACAGACCCAGTGATAACCATCCCCAGCTCTGTGCATAACTGGACATCCAATCTTCTTCCTCCTTGATAAACAAAAAGCAAAGGCAGCATCATATTTATGTTTGACATCATGTTTGTATCCCATATTAAGCTGTCCTCCTYGGTCACTATGGAAGATTCACTTAGCTAGGGCAGAGTATGAAATTTGTAACTATCAGAATAGAACTGAGAAACACAAACATGTAGCCTCAAAGAATTATCAAGGTCACCTGAAAGAATTTASCAGCAGTCTTCAAAGACTTAGGAAGAAATGCTTTCCATTCCAGAGATCTTTTAATGAACTTGTGCAAAACAAACCCCTAAAAAGCACGTTAGCCTCAACTGGGTCAAAGAAATCTTGCCTGATTCACTGGGACTCCTTTAGGCCACTTGGATTTCTTGGCTACCCTAAATCTGTCATGGAAATGCCAAGTCTTGTATATGGGCTAATGTCCTACTGATCGCTGATACAGATAAATAAACAGCAAACGCTGGTTTTTTTAGAGCAAACCTTAAGCATCATACTGAGGATGTAGGGATATGCTTCTCTKGCAAAGCATAAACTTGAAATGAACCTTAACACAGGAGCCCTTGGGACTGGCTCGTCTCCGATAGGAGCACTTAACAGATGAGCAGACTGCACAGTCTATTGCCATAAAGAATAAAATGCCTCATATTCCACACATCTCTACATTCCTTTTATGCTATGCTAGATTAGAATCTGTCAAATTARGCTTTTCTCCTTTTATGAGATCTGTATCATGAAATCTCTCCTGATGCTTTCCAAACCTGGTTTTCAATTGTTCTGAATTTGTTCTAAGGTCTAAAGTACGTTCGGTGCAATTCAAAAAAACAAGTAACCAAAGAATTTTGGTCCCTAAACAATAATTTTGACTTTTATGGAATCTCCCCCAAGTTCCCCCAGCAATCCTGCCTTCACCCCTCACCGACCAGCCCAAGGAGCAGGGTTTTCTGTCTCGCTGCCTGGAAGGTGTCCCAAGGCAGACCCCGATGGCGCAGAGCGGTCCCCGGCGGTGTCCCCGGGCAGGGCTTCGCTGCCTGGAAGGTGTCCCAAGGCAGACCCCGATGGCGCAGAGCGGTCCCCGGCGGTGTCCCCGGGCCGAGGGCTGCACTCACCGCCACCGCAGCGCGGCCGGGATGCTCAGCCCGCACACAAAAGCCGTTCCAGGGGATCATAAGAAGGCAGCCGGCCGTTCTCCCGCACATTGCGGGGCTCTGCCCCGTTCCCTCACCCCGCAGACGGGCACAGACCCCGCCGGGGCCGCTCCCTCACCCTGCGGCCGGGCACAGACCCCGCCGGGGCCGCTCCCTCAGCCGCAGCCGGGCGGGCGGGCCCGGGCCCCGCGTGGCGCCTTCCCGCCGCGGGCCGCATCCCGCCATGGCCCCGATCCCTCCCTCTGCCTCTGCCTCTCCCTCCTTCCTTCCTCCTTCCTCCTTCCCCGCCGCCCTCTCCCGCTCCCCGCTCCCGGCCGTACCTCCGCGCGATGCGGTAGAGCAGCAGCCCCGCGGCCGCGGCGCAGGCGGTGGCGCCCAGCCCGGTTCCGTCCATGCCGCCGCCGCGGTGCCCGGCGCTGGCGGAGCCGCTTTGTAGGGGCGCGGCCGCCCCCCGTCCCGCCCCTCGGCCCGCGGGGGCGGCCCGTGACTCACGGCAGGGCCGGAGTCGTGCGGCGGGGCCGCCGTGAGTCAGCGCCGCAAAGGCCGAGATCGTGGCGGCGGGGGCGGCCCGGGGCCCGGCCGTGAGGGGGCGGCCCGGGAGGTCGTGCCTGGCCCGGCGCCCGGCGCTCCGCTCCGAGCGGGGAACATCGCTGCTGAAAGTCASACACGGCGCTTTCTGTGTGACAACACCGACAGGCCCCGGGGAACGGCGGCCGCTGCAGCCGGGCACTGCGCGGATATTCTGAGCTGGAACGGACACGGGGGCAGAGTCCAGGCCTGGGCCCTGCTCGGGGACACCGGGAACAGAGTGTGTGCAGCCCCTGGCCCTGCACAGACCCCAGCCCCTGCCCTGCACAGACCCCAGCCCCTGCCCTGCACAGACCCCAACCCCTGCCCTGCACAGACCCCAACCCCTGCCCTGCACAGACCCCAGCCCCTGCCCTGCACAGGGACACACCGGGAACAGAATCCAGCCCCTGCCCTGCACAGAGACACCGGGAACAGAATGCACACCCCTGGCCCTGCACAGACCCCTGGCCCTGCTCAGACCCCCAACAATCGCCCCCTGGGCATCCCTGGCAGCGCTTCCAAACGCTCCTGGAGTTCTTGGGGCTGTGCCCATTCCCTGGGGAGCCTGGGCAGTGCCAGCACCCTCTGCTATCCCACCTAACCCCGCACAGACACAAATTCACAGCCTTCCCTCAGTGCAAGCAGTGTCTGCCCCTCTTCCCTCAATAGGATGCTGCACACTGGGATGAGCATCCCTCAGTCTCTCCAGGCTGAACACAAGTGTCTTTGGCTGCTCTTTACATCAAAGTAAGAGGTTTAGATCTCTCCAAAATACAGACYGAGCCAGCCTCAAATTGTGTAGCTGTGTGATTAAACCAAAGAAGAACTTCTCAGCACAATAAAAATGCTTAAAATCCAGGAGTCCCAAGTTYTGTCAGCATCATGTTTTTTAGAAGGCACAAATGGAAAAGCTCTTCATAGACAAATATTTGTACTGGAAGTTAGCTGTGCTTTTAAGATTAACTATGGTTGGGCTCTTCACTGTTCCATTTCCATCTGTACAGATTTAACCATGGCAATTAATTCTACAGAGTAACAGTGAATCTTTCATCTTAAATTTAAAAGGCACCTCATTTTTCCATCTCTCTTCCATTGTTCAGTATAATTACTTAGGGATTGTTTTATGAGACCAAAGATATGGAAAGGAGGAAGAACAACCCACCCAACCCAACAACCCACCCATTTGGCACACCAAATGACTTCTGCGTGTGCTTCTGGTTTTTCTACACAAGTCCCTCCCTTCCTATCAGCTCTGTCTGTAGTATCAGTCCAACCAGAGGAGCATTGTTTAAAAATTTCCTCCTTGAAGGAGCTAATGAGGAACTTGCAAGGGGCACAATCAGAAACATGGAACACAATTCGCAGCAAATGCAGGTATTTTGAGGGCTATCAAGGCAGTAGGTAAAGGCAGGCACTAAGTCTTACAGTGCTAGGACTTGGGAAATCCTTGAGTGGCTCAGAAATATTTTCAAAACTAGATTATCCAACATGAGTAGCTCATAATGTTGCAGCAGCAATCTYTGTGGTCACTTCAGATAGCACCGTACACCTTATTGATAATTAAGCTATAAATGGCCTAGTAATGAAGCCTTTACCTACCTTCCATGAAAATGACTTTCTGCAGAAGCTGGAGAAGAGGAAAGAACAGTGAAAAATTCTTCACGATTGACTTTCACAAGCAGAGAAAGGTTGGTTATTTTTAAATTCAGGTATCGTTTTGGAAAAAGCTACTTCAGATTCTTTCCTCTGGTAATAGGCTTATTCCATCCTCAGTGACATCAATGGGATTGCTCAGAGCATCACCTAAAAATGGTAACTCTTTACAGGGTTTAAGGAATCAAGGGTTAGTGAATTTTAGAAATTATATTAGAGASAGGAAGGAAAACCGATTTAATTATACTAATTCAGAAACTCTCTTAGCTCCCAATATAGCTATTTAACCCCTTATCAAATTAAGACTAATTCTCTCAGGATTGGTAGCAAAGCTTAAAAAACAAAACCAAAAATCCTGCAGAATTCTTGATTTTCCACCAGGTTTAAGGAGAACAAAAATTTGTTCACTTTCTTTTGCTTTCTCTCGACAAATCCCAGACTTCTCAAAAGGGTTGGAGTTCCCTCCCCTCATTCTCAAAAGACATCAGTAGTCTACACATTTGACTAACATTTTAAAAGTGAGCTGGTGCACTGGAAGTACAGAGAAATGCTAATTTAGGAAAGCAAATCTCAGAAAATGTTTCAGAGTAGCAGCACAAGTGTCCTAGTTCTCAAAAATAGAAACACTGTTTGACAGTTTTGCCTCCTATAAAGAGACTGAAGCTTTTGCTGCTCACCATCTCCATAAAAAAAGCCATGTCAAGTTTTACTCAACAGTTTTCTATTTTAGCTTGGGAGGGATGTGATAAGTTATTTCCAGGAAGACATAATGGAAATCAGTTATTTTTTGCAGTTTTGCCTCATAATGAGGTACACACACATTCTACTCTCCTTGCACTAAGCTCCTACCTCACACTGATGTCAAACATGACCTCAAGTACCAGTCATCAGCTGGGCTCTACTGGGAGCAAATGGGAAGGTTTGAATCCAGTTATCAGCCCATCCTATTTCTGCAACAAAACCCCAGCCTGAAAACCTCACCTGATCAAACACAGCCCCASTCACTAGCAGGCTGTTTCCAGGCTGGGAGTGCTCCCTGGAGTCAAAGCTGTCCATAAACATTTGTTTATGCCCAAGGACTCAACACCTGCTCAGATCAGGAGGAGCTCACTGTTGTCACCAGCAGGGAAGGCTGAAGCTGGGTCAGGTGCTGCAGTGTTTGTCTCAGCTGCCAAAGCAAATGACAGTGAACAGTGAACAGAAGAGCAGAGTATGGCCAAGGCAAAAAACAATCCTACATGTGAGTTCTGGGGTGTTCATAATTCACACGCCACGCTTTCATCACAAGATGCTGCTGCAATACAAGTGGGGAAGACTATTAAAATGAAAGCACATTCTATTGTTTATGAAAGAACTAATCCCAAGTAGGCAGGATATTTGATTTTTAAGTGAAAGGTAAGAATTGTATCATGAGAACTGTTGGAAATCTCTATCTCATGGAATTTCCAGCCAGGCCACAGTCACTGAGTGTCCCTATGCTCTCAGGCCTGCACAAAAGCAAGGCCTAAAAGCCAYGACAGATCTGTTTACAGCCAGTACCATAACCGTGTATCCCAAATGCACAGGGGCTCACAGAACTGTTAATTACATTCTTACTAAAAGCCTCCCACAGCCACACTGCCAGTAAAAGCAGCATTTCAAAGGGATTCTGGTGTGCATAGTTCATACTATCAAAACAAAGAATTTTGTCCTACTTGAACACTCCAGGATGTTCACACAGCAATGCACCTTGAAAAAACCACAACTTGTCTCAAACTTCTCTGGGCACTTAAGCTATTACACTGCTCAAAAGCAGAATGACCCCAGTGGTAAAAGACAGTTTCAAATGTCCAAGCCAGTTCTCCTGTTTTAATACAGTTTTAATGAACATAAGTCCAAGAGATCACTTGATAGTATGAGGTACATTCCTTGACCACATATGGCTGTGCTTAAGGAAAAGGACAAACATATAATTAAATTAAATAGTGTAATTTAATTTAGTAGCAGTTTAATTATCAAGTTAAAAAAAATTATAATTAACTATTAACATTAATGACTTGAGACCTTTTAGAAAGCATGAGTCCAAAAGGAAATATCCACAGGTGATCACAGACTTGTAGCTTTTTTCACCAGCACTGCAACCTGCACCAGTCTCTTAAAGGACTATTTGTTCAAGGAAGAAATTGGTCTTCAGTCTGTAACAGGAGCCTCGGCTCTGCTACTTTGCGTGGTCTTCTAAGAGATACACAATTAACTCGTAGGTGGACAAGACAATGGCTGTGTTTGGAATCTGCCGGATGAGCTGGGCAAAGAGTCCTCTGTAGAAGGCCAGGTAGCCTTCCTCCCGAGCCACCAGCCGAGCTGTCTGGATGAAGGTCTTGTACTTGGTGCCCTCCTCTCGCAGCCTTGTCCTGATGACCTCTGCACAAAGGGAACCAGAGCCCACAGTTACCAACACAAACCTGCCCAAGGACCAGGAAAAATCCTGCATGCAAACCCCAGCAACATGAAAACCTTCTGTGTGAACTGCCAGCCAGAAACTCCAGCCATGGAACCCTGCACACACTGCCCTTCAGGCAAGAGGAAAACTTAAAGAGGAGTTCTCTTTCATGTGGAATAAATGAATGATTTGYTCATTGAAGCTACTACACATCTAAATGCTTTACTGATGCTCACATAATCAATACTGCTCTTTCTACACAACCATGGTATCATTCACATCTAYTCAAAAGGACTAACACTGTTCAGTCCATGAGTGCTTCCCAAAACTGGATCACAGAATCCCAAAGGCTGTGGGTACTTACCTAGCTGAGGCTACTAGTGAGAACASAAAGAGACAATCCATTTCTGGGTAGTTTTGGAGTTGTTTTTAAACTATCAAGTCCCAATCATCAACCATGTGTCTAACTAGGAATGGCAGGACCAGTACTGAAAATGTCAGTGCAGAAGCCAAAGCAATGTGCATTTGGCCCTTTGAACAACTAAGGGTTTTAGAGCCCTGGACCCCATCATTTGCCTTGGATTCCAGGCACCAGCTGTTGTACTGCACTCATAAACAGAAGGGTGAACATACCATGAGGATAAGCAATACAAGAGGCACAGCCCTTGGAAACAGCAGCAGCAACCATCAGTCCAAAGAAGCTYGTCGAGTTCCTTTCGGTCCCGTTAGAAGAAGGGGGCAGTTGGACTTCCTTTAAGTGCTTTTTTAAACTTTCATAAATAGCAAAGCAGATAATGGTCTCAGAAATCCCTGCATAGGAGGCAGTCAGACCCCTATAGAAGCCACGGATACCTTCTGTCTGGTAAACATATCTAGCACACTGCAAAGCATTCATTGGTTTGGAGCCCCTCACTCTAAAAAAAACAAACAGAACAGAGCATATCATGAGCCAGGAGAAGGAATTAATATTAAGAAAAAACCCTTATGGCTTTCAATAGTTTCTATAGCTACGAAATGGTTCTCTAAGTTTTACTGCAAAATTCTCCTATGAGAGCTGTGCAGAGCAGGACTATGATGCTGAGAGTGCACACTTGCCTTTGCTACTTCACTAATATTCCCAATTCATTCCTTCACAATACTCCCAATTCCTTCAGCTCAAGTTCAATCTAGTGTGTCASAGTTCACACCAGAGCTTTAAAAGACAATAAGCACTGAAGAGACATTACTTTCTGTCAAACTAGTGATTCCATTTAAAGCCATCTTCAGCAGGCCAAGAGACAGAGATCTGTGCAGGAGAAATGATCCTTCATTTTAAGAGGCAGCACTCAGTTCAAAAGTGCCACCCTGTGAAGTGCTGGAATTAAGTCTTATAAATTATTTATAAAGTTGTCGTGCCTTATAAGATCCTTTTTATCTGACCTCACATGTCCTTGCAGGAAGGAATTTCCATTCTAAGCAGTCACACTATTAGCAGAGTCCCTTATTGCTTTGATATCCACCAGTGACTGTGAATCATTCAACTAGAGCAGACTGCTGTCAAATTCCCTGTGTCTTCAGGTGGTTAACAGCAACACAGTGCTGAAGGAGGCAAAGGAACATTAAACCACTGCAGCAGATCCTTATTGCCTCTAGAAAGTTTGGTGAAAGGAAACTGCTGTGTCTTCATGCCAATTTGAAGCCCTTTCTGTTAGAGCTCCACGAGCACCTCCCAGAGGCTCCTGCAGCCACAGAGACAGAGTCTCCCCCCAGCAGTTACTTACTTCCGTTCCAGCTGCATTCTTGTTTTCACCATCCATATAGGGTTCATCAGGGAATTTGTGATAAAGGCTGRAAGAGAGAAAATCAAAAGTACAGCTGAATCCAGGCCACTGTATTGCCATGAACCTTACAGCCTGTGCAGTGAGACAGTTCTACCACCAGCTCCAGCCACACAGGTCACAGCTTCCAATTTCATGTTAAAACTCATGGATTCATCCCTTTTGCACCTATTTTAATATGTGTGTCATGTTCCTAAAGGCTGTTGCAGACAAGAGACTCTCCTTACTGATGGGTTTTGAAATTCCAGCTCAGAAGAACCCATGGGGACACAAACCTGAACTGGACTCGTGTTCCCCAGGGCTGTAGATGGTGCCATTGAGCCGCTCATTAACAGAACCCACTCCTAATTAGGGGCTTACTTTGGGAACGATTATTTTTAGTGACCACTCTGGTGACTGATGATTGAACTGGGGGAGCTCTTCTGCAGTATTTTTCCCACAATACATGAACAAACTATTTTCCCCAGCCTGCTAGGAAAAATACAACATCCTGAAACAATTTGGCAAGAACACTATCAGAAGTTTAATGGTGTTTACTAATATTTTTTTATTGCATTAAGAGACCTGACCAGAGCATTGCACTTGGAAAAAAAACATCCTAAATTAGTAAACAACAATCTAGAAATATTTCTGTTCTAAGCAGAAAAACAGTTCCTCTGCAGACAAGGCCAGCCAGGAGCCAGCAAACTCCTGTTTTTTGGCATATACAGCTCAGATTAAGTGCACRTATTCAGCACATGCCACCACTGGCCTCTGYACTTGTTTATTAACCACAATKAACCAGAGATATCAGCCAGGACTGSTGTCAGTCCRGYCCTGCACACACAGACTGCCCAGTCCCTGCCTCATGAGCCACTCTCATTATWTCCCAGCTATTGAGAGGGTTGGAASAAGTCTTGTAGCAACGAGAGCTTGGCACAAATCCTTTCAGGCAGGAAGGTGCATCCCARAGCCACATCTCAGACACCAGTGCACACCCTGGCTGCACACTGGGACAGGGAACAGCACTTACAAACACTCACCTGCAGAACCTGCAGAACAGACGTGCACTATGTTGCTGTTGGGCACAAACATGCTGTTAAACTGCTCTTTAGCTTTGGAGTAGCATGCAAAATAGACAGCTCTGTGGGCAAAAAAAGGAAGAAAAGTAATGTAATACAATGTCAAATTAGACAATTACTGTTCTTTGCAAAAATTCTCTCCATAGGCCTCAGAATACAAGCACAAATCCCAGTTTACAGATGGGATAACTTCATGGCCTATTATTTTRAATCACAAATKCACTGTAACATTTGTGTTGGCCCCTTAAATGTGTCTTTTAGCAATAGTTTAACTATTTACCTTGATGGTGCAACTCCAACCAAGTTTGGACCCAGCCCTCGGAAGAGTGACCTTGGTCCTTCTTTTTCTAGAATTGACCTTAAAATAAAAAACAAACAGGGAGGGAGAAGACAGTATTTATGTTAAAAGTTATGTTTCTTGTTCTGTCAGGCAGAGAGCCAAAAAAACTACACAAAAGCAGAGTGTGACTTATGAAGCCATTAGATTTTAATCTATATGATATACTTCAAAATCAGTAGCATTATACACTAAGTAAAAGCCACTGTACCATAAAATTCAGTGCTCTACAGGCAAATGGGTGTCCAATGGCACAAGGATATCATTTCCATTCTTTGAAAGCTGTCAGAAATGGAATTAAAGCTTCATGGAGAATCCAGTGATAGCTGACTSTGATGAACAAAGAGATTTTTAGGGTTTTCTGTATCTAAGCAATGCAGGGGTTTGCTTTCTGTACAGTCCTGTAGAGAGACATGAAAAAAGAAATCCTTTCTCCTTTCACAATTACCTAGAGATGTGCTTTTTCCCCCGAGAAAGCTGAATGTGGCAATCATCCTACAAACTACATGAGTGCTAGACAGCAGCTCTCTTAAGTGAGCTCACCATGGGAAAACCATGCAAGAAATTCCAGGTGACTCCGGGCTCTGTGGGKAGCTCACTGCACCCACTGGAACTGCCAGGTTTTCACAGTTTGCTCTCGAGGTCACTGGCAYTGTTGAGAGTGTTCCCCACTGATTTCAAACCCAACCTCATTAGACAGGAGGAGATACAGGAGCGTCTGAAACGCTTTTGTTTTCTGCAGCAGAGTTGAACTTTCTGTATAAACTCCAGGGCTGAGTGTCTCCAAGGAGACAGATCCACCAACTACTTGTTCTYTGTCACTTTACAGTCACGACTGCAGATTCCAGCTGGGCTAACTCACCAGAATCTTAAATGGATTAGACAAAAACAGCCTGTCCTTCTGGAGTGCCTTCTATCAGCAGCAGGCTTAACCTGCCCTCTGGGCACCCGTTTCTTTCTATTTCCAGCAGTTAAGGGGCTTTCATACTTAAAACCTTTAACTCTTACAGAGCAATTTTATTGGCAGGGCTCCTCAGCCACACAATTTTCCCAAAYCATGAGGTCCAAGTCATGTCCAGTTTGGCAATGATTGGGATTGAGAAAGGGATGAAAGAGTGAAAGCAAGTTCACTTCTTTCTTCCTACATTTGAATTTTCTCAGGTCATAATCAATGGCATTATCTGCTCTTCAGAGATGCTGCCTTCAAGGAAATGACAGCAGAAATATTTTGCTCTCACTTCTCAATCCTCAAAAGTAATCAGATTGAAAACTTGGCATTACATACAGCTGTAAAATTCCTGAAATGAAAGGAAATCAAGATCCCMGTCACCAAACTTAATGAGCTTAACAAATATATTAAAAAGCTGATCCATTTTTAAACCTTTTTCTTTCTCCCTAAAAAGACAACCCCAGAAAAAAGATGGGCCCAGAGCAAGAATTAAGAACTTTCTGCCTTAAAAGTTTTCACTTTCTTTAGTTACAGCTACCTGAAGTCCAATGCTGCAAGGTGAAAAGATAGCAAAKGAAAGGAAATTAAAATCAGAGGCAACTGGCACTGCCTTATGCATTCAGTCACGAATTGCTCTAGACTCACCTCTGAGTAGACAAAGAAATGTTTGGCAGGGGAAAGCAGGCTGTTTACAATACAGAAACTCAAGTCCCAGAACAACTCCAGCCAGAGAGCTCTGCAGAGAATTTGAATTAGCACTCCAGTGTTATATAACTGTGCAGCTTCTCCCCAGGCAGTCTTCCAAGAGTGCTGGCCTTACATAAAATCATTCAACTTGCACTGCTGGTTGGTATTTTCCTTGGCATTCCTGCCACCTGATCTCAGCAGGACCTCTGCATCACCTGGGGTGCCCARGCAGCCAAACAAACTCAATCCTTTTGCACRAAGTCTGACCATAAGCTGATGGTGCTTTGCTATTAAAATACAGTAGCAGAGATTGTCAKAGCTGCTGGTAGAACTATTGAGCAGCTGTTAGATAATTTCACATTTCCTCTTCTTTATGAACACACATTGGRAAGGGAGCAGCTAGAGCATCAAACACTGCAGTCTGAACCACTCAAGGCTTTTAAYGGAAACTAAGACAGGCCTAGACAGGACTGATGCAAAATGATCAGCAAAGACAACATCTAACAGCTCCAGCTGAGGAGATAAAAGCCCCAGGAGCCCCACAAGACATTCTATTTTAGTGCAGTGACACTCAGATCAGTGTGTCAAGGAACAGTGAGTGAGAAAAGGGCAGCACTCACTTGAGGACACTGAAGAGCCCAGGGGACACGGACGTTGGCCGGACCATTCCTTCCCCACTGATGGTGCCCAGCTGYACCTGGGGGTAGTAGACAGTCCTGAAGGCCAGTTTGGAAGATTGAAGCCTTGTCTTTATCACCTCTAAGGGACACGTAAAGATGGCACCAACTGTTCCTCCACACCTGAAAAGKACAGTTCAAACAGAAATCAGTGTGRCAAATATTGCTGCACAGATGTGTAAAATCACAGCACAGCACAGAAATCAAGGCTGAGGATTTGTCTCCAGTTCTTCCACACTGTGGAGAAATCATTACCAAATAGGCAGTTGGGGCATTGGGAATCTGTTCCCCTGCTCTGGGGGAGGGACTGTTAGAATGGTAAACACAAAGGTGATACCAACACTAACAAAAATCCCTGACTGACCATGGGACTAATCCCATGTTCTACCACGACTTGGAACTCTGCCTGTAAAAACTTCAGAGGCAGCCATGTTTCAGAGGTTGTTGTCCTAAAACAGACATACCCTTGGATGGATTTTTCTTATGGGAAGCAGGAAGCTGCCAGATAAGAATGAGCCACTGGGGATTAGGACACTACAGGCCGAAAAAAACAATATAATCCTTCACCATTTCAGGATATTTTATACGAACAGGAACCATTCTCTGCCAAAACCCCGTGCATTAAGAGCATGGCCACCCAGGCTGTGCAACCACAGAAAACAAAGATCTTTAAAAGGCTCCAAAGAGCACTTGAGACCTCATGGCCAGGGAACACAACTTCCTCAGCACAGCTTTCATGTTCTGCAAGGTTCTGTCCAAGCATGACCCCAAACTGTGCTTTCCAAAGGCACTGCTTTCATGGAGACTGGAATATGATTAACAGCATTGTTCGGTGAGAAAGTCCTTGCTCATTCCTCTTCCTTGCTGAGAGGGACAGAATCCCAAACTAGGGACAATCCACACATCACAATGAGACACTGTCAGAAAGACCTTTGCCTTCACCCCTTTGAAAGCATTTACGCTTTTGAGAGCTGACGAGTCAATGAGTTGATCATGGAACTCAGTACACAACAGCTGAAATTGTGTCATTTGGCTCCAAAATGACAGAGCTCACAGACCTTATCAGCTCTGAKTGTTTTGTGTACTGAAGCAGGGCTTGGAGCTGAGCCCTCTCTGGGTCCACACGGCCCAGGAGGACATGGCTTCAGCTTATCCTTCTCTGTTTTGTCAGGTGCATCTCACATTGCACACATTTCTCTGAAATGAGATCTCAAGGGGAAAAGGCCCTTTGGGAATGGCTTCTCCAGCAAACAAACAAAATGTGTTTGAAATTATTCTGATTTTMTAAAATGTGCCACATGCTCTAGCATGACATGCACAGCAGAAACAGCAAAGCAGGTTCTACCTTAGATATTTCATTATTACATTGAGCAGACTGTGAACAAAACAAGCTGCTGCATTCTTAGATGCCAAAGGAAACTGAGTATCAGAACAACACAGGCTGTTCCTAACGCTTTAATTGTGAGTTATTAATCATTCACTCAATTTCCACCTAATGATGTTGTTATCAAGTGTAGGTATTCCTGTAAGCATTTCCTGTGTTCCTTGAGCTGCTACACCGTTAGTGAGGCAGGGAACGCACAAAAACCTAAATGAGGAGGGCAAGAGACAGCCAATGCCAGCACCAAGGCCCTGTCCTGCACCACACACACATCTTCAGGTGAACACTGCTTCTCTCCACTTCACAAATGGAAACATTTCCCAAATKGTTTGTGGACATCTGCACATTGCTTAACACTACCACTTCTTAGACAATCTCTGCAGGAACCAGCATTCCTCCAGCTGGAAAGACAACATGGAGCAGCCTCTGCTGCAGCAGCTTATCCCAAACAAAAACAAGCACCAACTGCACTGACTTCAGCAGGGAAMCAGGAACCCTGACTTGTAAACATGCTTGTATCTGTTGTGCAACTCAGGCATCAGTCTCTGCTGCTCCTGAAACCTCCCCAGCCCTGAGAACCATGTTCCCAACAAAGCACCAAGAGGGCTCTTTGGTTTGCTGTTGCTATTGGAAGCTTTAAAAGGAACTAACAGAAACTAAAAGGCCGATGAGTCTGTCTGCCTGAATAACCTGGTTAATAGGAAACCATCTCTTTCAACAACTGGAGAGCACTTTGCAACATTCAAGTGCATTTCATCACTCCGAGTCTCTGAAGTATCAAACATTCTATTCTGGCCACCGAGATTATCTAGGGCTGGCCTGCCTGCTTTGTGCAAACACAAAGATATGAATTACTTTTTAATCTGACACCACAGCCCATCCCCACCTTCCCAGAAAGCCATCATAATACCRACAATGTCTCCATCAAAATGATTTCAAGTGAATGGGTTCCTTTYACTTTATCTGCAGAAACCACTTTACAATGGAACAAAGGATAGCATCTTATATGACATATTCTGAGCTTCCATCATTTCCTTCTGCTGGATGAGAAGTTTTATCCAAGGTCCTGGTTCTGCAAACAGCTTTATGGTACAGTACAACCCATTTATTATAACAGGGTTCTGTGAAATAAAGTGCAAAGTTAAAGGCATTTGAAGGTCTCAGGAAGAGCCTCAATGGAGACTATTACTCAAGCACTAACAAACCAACAATTCTTTCTAAAATTCCCTTGGGATGTAACAGATGCAGCAGAAGACTATGTTTGCTGTCTCGTTTTCCTCTCTGTAGCATCACAGCAGGAGAAATGATGGCACTTTCCTGTGTCTCTTTAAGTAACAAGACATGCAGAACCACAAACAGGTCCAGCAGTGACCCTTTAAAGGCCCGTTTACCCTACAAGGGCATCTCTTCTCTCTGTGCTGTATTTTCATCACTGCTCCTGAACCAGATCAGCCTTGTCCTAGCAGAGTGGCCAGAGGGACATTCTCTGCTGTGTTTCCCCTCTTTCCCTGCAAGAGCTCTCAAAGGCAGACAGGACCTGGTGACTTCCTGCAGAAAATGTTTACTGGGGTCTGGAGAAGGCAAAGGCTACAGTAAATCACTAAGGAGGATGCTGACCTCTCAGTACCAGATTAAAACACTGATGAGTTTAAAATTCTTATTTATTTATAGTCTGATGAGTCACATGAGGACACCAAGAGCTCTGGCCAGGCGTTGTTACTATCCAAACAAATTCCATGTGTACACTCAGGTCCAGCTTCTATCCCAGGCTCCAGGTACTGCTCTGATGCAGGGGGCAGAGAGGACTTAGTGCAGAGTATTCAAGCCAGCAGAAAGGCAGTGTCTCTGAAAAGCTCTGTTGGGTTTAATATTACATTAAATTAACCTATTGCTCCAGGGACGTGTCAGAGGAGACYGAAGTATCCTGTTAAGCAACAGAAAAACCAATGGTCTGCTATTAGACAGATTTAAACTAACAACAGGTTTCATGTTGGCTTCCTAACCACTGTCAGCTGACAAGCAGCGTGGAATATGCTATTATTTAGATAATTTAAGCTGCTAAAAAATGAAAATATTTCTGACAGAGGCAAAAGTGCACTTAATCTGCACAATAGATGATTAAAACTTATTTTACACCATGAAATTACTTTACTAGATTACTGTAATAAGTTAATTTTCAAACAGTCTCTGGTTGGCAGGTTAGGACTGTTCCTTTCAGTTTTTAACGAAACAAAACAAATAGTTTACAAGTCCTGGAAGCAAGAACTGCACAGAAGTGGCCYGGCATGCCAGGTCACTTACCCACAAGTAGCAGGACCGTGTCGAACCCTCCTTCCCCCCAGTCCTTTTCCCGTTTTCAGTTCTTGCATTCCGGTATAACCGCGGGGATGATGCAKCCACAGCCCCGCTGAGCAAACCCCCATTCCTGTGCAGGGCCCTCACCCAGCGCAGAGGGACAGGGATGGGGTGACACCCTGGAGCCGCATGCTGAGCGCTTCATTTACCGGCTTTGCCATTAAACACCGCCGGATGTCGCGACAGCGCGACCGGGGCTGTGACCCMGCGTGGCACCGGGAGCGCCCCGTGCCCGGGGATCTGGGATAAAGGGACGGCAACGGCCCCGCTCCGGGCCCGGAGCAGCCGAACGCAGGGCACAGCAGAGCCCGGGCCGTGTCCGTCCCTCAGGCACAGCGGGACCGGGGCCGTGTCCGTCCCTCAGGAACAGCGGGACCGGGCCGTGTCCGTCCCTCAGGAACAGCAGAACCCGGGCCGTGTCCGTCCCTCAGGCACAGCGGGACCCGGGCCGTGTCCGTCCCTCAGGATCAGCAGAGCCCGGGCCGTGTCCGTCCCTCAGGATCAGCACAGCCCGGGCCGTGTCCGTCCCTCAGGAACAGCAGAGCCCGGGCCGTGTCCGTCCCTCAGRAACAGCGGRRCCCGGGCCGTGTCCGTCCCTCAGGAACAGCGGAGCCCGGGCCGTGTCCGTCCCTCAGGAACAGCGGGACCCGGGCCGTGTCCGTCCCTCAGGAACAGCGGGACCCGGGCCGTGTCCGTCCCTCAGGAAC